CACACACACACACAAACACACACACACACACACACACACACACACACACACACACACACACACACACACACTTGTGCAAAACTTACCTGACGTATCTTGTTGGGGAGACGTGGCAGCTGGCTGTCCCTCATCAAGTTCACATGGTAGGTTTCTCTATTGACAGAAAATAGAAGCATAACTCACCACATTGCTATATGGAACAATTCCCATATTCTGTGAAAATACTATTTAAATGTCTATAGCTAAATGTTTGCTGGACACACACACATGTGCAAAACCCACCTAAAGTATCTTCCTGGGGAGATGTGGTGCCAGCAGACTGTCCCTCCTCGAGTTCAAATACTGGCCTACTGGTATGTGGAGGTAGATGGCTGTTCCTCAGTGGCAGCTGATGTCATCCCAAAATATCTGTGTAGGGCTCCTGATGTTGCATAAAACAAACAATACAATCTTCATGTCACGTCTGTTGCTTCAGCATTTTAATTAACATGTTACAATGAGCATTTACAGTTTTCAGCAGTGGTGGAAAGAATTCTGAAAATCTGTACTCAAGTACAAGTACTGTTACATTGCTAAAATATTACTCATTTGCAAGTAAAAGTACTGGTGTTAGAGAAATACTCAAGTAAAAGTACAAAGTATTCATAAAAACCTCAGAGTATTATTTCTTTTTAACGGCTGATGTCACCATCACTTCTCCAGACTGAGGCTGCCTGGAAATTGTGTGTTTTCCTTTACCAAAAGTTAAAACACCAACAATCTATTAATCATTAATAATTGATAAGACACAAAACAAGTGTTTTTCCCTTTTTTTTTTTTGTCATTTTAAGTTTTTATTTCCTTTTTCAGCAAACGTCTCCGGCAGACAAAAAACTAAATGACAAGAGGAGCCATGACTATTGTTTAAATATCCATGAATTCATTTTAACTGGTTAAATTCTTCAACTCTCCCGCACTGCTTCTTGGTCACTGTGAGTTTTTAACATAGCCGCAGTGTGCAGCACAATTAACGCAACACAATGACATCATCGACTGGTACAGTACAGATGTGCTGAAAGGCAAGAGTCTCAACTTTCAGCTAAAAAAAGACCGCTCTAGCTATTATAGTTTTTATTTTATGGCAGTTTACAATTTAAACGGGATCTTACTGGCAGGGCAACTCCAGCGGCCCGCTGCCGCTCCGTTTTTCATGGGGTAAATAATAGCTCATTTCCCGATTCCAAAAAGAAAGGTGAATGGCGCAAGAGAGCAGGACAACCTGCCGTGGTGATCAATACTAATATCAATGTATGTCAGCAAAATTCTCGAAGACTCATTTTATTTGATAGCGTTTGGTTATCAGCCTTTCGGTTTTCCACTCTTAGCTATTCATAAAAGCTCATTTGACAAAGAAAAAGTTAGCGGTTGGAAGTAGTCCTATATACATGCAACGTAAGAAGCTAGCAAAAGACATTTGAAAGGATCATCATAGCACCATGCAAAACGTACAGATTAGAGAGGTTAGTTAATCAATAAGTTGGGGGATAGGCGGGAAAAATACCAACTAAATAATAAAGACATTCATACCTGCATCTTTTCCTCGTTTCTCCTGCTCTTCTTTTCTTTTTTTTTTCTAAATTGGGCACCAGATGGCTTCGACCGTTTCTTCTCCTTTATGTTTGTGAGTGGTGATATGTCAAACGGTACCTGTATCCCTCCATCATAATTCTCTGAGATCCCTCCGCCCCCACCTGATATAGAGCGCACTATCCCACCCTGCACCACAGAGGCGGTGCAGACACAAGGAGGCGCAATAAAATCACAATATAAACGCAAACAATGACTTTGTTGTGCTTTTATTACAGAGATATTAGTATCGTCACTCATCACTATTATTATTAAGAACATACAATTTCTATGTTTTGTTTATGTATTGGTTGATGCTTAAAAAAAAAGGAAATTAAATGCCACCCCCTCCAGACTGCCGCCCTGTTCGGCCGCACGTGTTGCACATATCAAGCTCCGCCCCTGCCCCACTGATCTCAGGCTCAGGAGGAGAGAGTTCCAGAGTCTGGGGGCCACAGCAGCAGATGATCTGTCACCTTTGGTCTTCTGGTGCTGCACAACCAGTAGGCTTTGGTCACTGGACCTCAGGGACCTGCTGGGGGTGTAGGGACTAAGAAGATCACCAATGTAAGATGGTGCTTGTCCATGTAAGGCCCTATAGACCAGAACCAGGATCTTTAAATGAACCCTGAAGTTGACCATCAGCAGTGAAGCTGGAGGAGAAGCGGGGTGATAATAATAATAATAATAATACATTTTATTTCAAAGCGCCTTTCAGGACACCCAAGGTCACTTTACAGAAAACACATAATAAAATACAATAAAACAATAATAAAACCCAAACAAGAAAAAACAAAGAGAGAAACAGTTCAATAAAATCAGAGGTTGTAGGCAGATTTAAACATGTGTGTTTTGAGTTTTGATTGGAAAAGGGTAAAACTGTCGATGTTCCTGATGTCTGGGGGAAGTGAGTTCCAGAGACGGGGAGCAGAGCGGCTGAAAGCTCTGCTCCCCATGGTAGCGAGACGGGCAGAAGGAACCGCAAGATGGATGGAAGAAGATGATCTAAGTGAACGGGATGGGGTGTGAATACTTATAAGGTCTGAGATATATGGAGGAGAGAGGTTGTGGATAGCTTTGAAGATATGGAGGAGAATTTTGAAGATGGACCTGAATTTAACTGGGAGCCAGTGAAGCTGCTGGAGAACCGGGGTGATGTGGTGAAAGGAAGGGGTTCTGGTGATAATACGGGCTGCTGAATTCTCGACCATTTGCAGTTTATGAAGGAGTTTGTTGGGGAGACCATAAAGAAGTGAATTGCAATAGTCGATACGGGAGGTGACGAGGCTGTGGACGAGAATGGCGGCAGTGTGAGGGGTCAGTGAGGGACGGAGACGGTTAATGGAACGTAGATGGAAGTATGCTGACCGAATTAAGTTATTAATGTGAGCTTGAAAAGAAAGTGAGCTGTCAAGAATGACACCCAGACTCTTGACGTGAGGTGAGGGGGAGACTATGGCGCTGTCAATTGTTAAAGAAAAGCTGTCAGATGTTGAGAGGGTGGAGTTAGTGCCAACTAGAAGAAGTTCAGTTTTATTGCCGTTGAGTTTGAGGAAATTAGAGGTGAACCATGATTTGATTTCAGAGAGGCAGAGTGTAAGGGAGGATGGTGGGAGAGTTGAGTTGGGCTTACTGGAAATGTAGAGCTGGGTGTCATCCGCAAAGCAGTGAAACTGGATATTGAATTTGCGGAAGATTTTGCCGATAGGGAGGAGGTATACTATGAAGAGGAGGGGCCCCAGGACAGAGCCCTGGGGCACACCTGACTCGACTGGGGAGGGTTCTGAGGTAAAGGATTTTAACTGGATGAACTGAGTGCGGCCAGTAAGGTAAGATTGAAACCAGCTGAGGGGGGTGTGAGTGATGCCTAAGGAAGAGAGTCTATTGAGGAGGATGGGATGAGAAATGGTGTCAAAGGCCGCACTCAGATTGAGGAGAACAAGAATAGAGATTAAGATGTGGGTGTGTTTGGAGGACTTGGTCAGAAGCCGAGCACAGGCATTCTGAACCACCTGTAGACGGTTCAGGGAGGTTTTGCTCAGACACGTGAAAAGAGAGTTGCAGTAGTCTAAGCGTGAGGAGATGAAGGTGTGGATAACTGTCTCAAGTTCAGAGCGGGACAGAATGGGACTCAGCTTAGCAATGTTTCTGAGATGGAAGAAGGAAGAGCAAACAAGAGAACTGACATGAGAATCCAGGGTGAGAGCTGGGTCAAAGGTCACGCCAAGATTCCTGACAGAGGGTTTGGTGTGAGAAGCAAGCTGACCAAGAGAGTCTCTGACTTTGGGAACCAGCTTGTCTGGAGCACAGATGAGGATCTCAGTCTTATCTTCGTTCAGCTGTAGAAAGCTCCCACCATCCAGGTTTTGATAGAGTCTAAGCAGGTGTGTAGCAGCTGCAGCTTAGACATCTCATGGGGCTTAAAGGAGATGTACAGTTGGATGTCATCTGCGTAAAGGTGGTAGGAGATTCCTTTAAACAAAGATGATAAGAAGTCAAGGGGGCACGCAGAGGTTTTCATAGTTAAATATTAATGTGTTATAGTTACAAATTACTATTTGAAAAAGTAATTGGGTTAGTAACGCAGTTACCACAATGTAAAAGTAACTAGTTACCTAGGAAAGTAACTGACATTACTTTCATGCTCTATAATGCAGATACGTTCTATAATATCTATAATGTCAGATTTTTTTTTTTACAGAATAATTCTTACTATCTAGAATGAACATGTCAGATATCTGAAATGTTCATTAAGATCTCATGGATATCTGGAATGTTAAATTCTACTAGGAACAATAGAATAATAGATATATGGAATGCATATCCAGTCTGCCTAATAAATGTTAAAAAGACTGCCTTAGGTTTCTAGGGATTCTGACATATCTCAAACATGCAGTTGTTGTCATGGATATCCTTAATTATAATTTCTACGAGTAACAACATTGCTGTTGATGTCTTCATTTGCAATTTTCACTAATATGAATACAATTAATACTAGTAGTAGAAGAAATAAATAGAAGTAGTTCTTCTCAAGATAAAAATCAGATGCTTCACAAAAAATATAAATTAAAAACAGTTTAAAATTTATATAACAATTACAATATTTTATTAATAAATGTATCAAAAATATATTGTCATAAAAATGGAAAAAGTCACAATTGGGATTAACAGTTGTGAGGAAGAAGAAGGAGAATATTAATAATCTCGGGAGAAGATCCACTGATTACCAGATTTGGTAGAAAGAGCTGATTGAGGAGAAGGTTGTGATCAAGAATCAAGTACTTCATGTGGAAAAAGCATTTAAAAAGTTGTTATTTTCTTATATTATACCTTCCAATTGTTTTAAACTAATGTGAGAAGGGCTACTTACTCTTTGTATTTTTTGTCACCCGTAGCTGACCTACCTGCCTCCCCCGTGGGGAGAGTGTGAGTCCAAAGCGCTGGAGTCAGGCTTCTTCCAGGTCTACAGCGTAACCGCCTGCAGGATCGACTGTGAAACGCGCTACATTGTGGAGAACTGCAACTGCAGGATGGTTCACATGCCCGGTAAGCTCCACCGCTCTACAGTGTGCAGATGACTGTGTATTGAACAGACATTCATCAACTGGAGTTTTCAGCAAGCCTGCAGATTTTGTGTGGGCTGCAAGAGCATTTAGAGGCCTCATATTGATATGACTGGTCAATACTGTATTAGATGTTGGCATTATAAAAAGCCCCAGGAATACAGCCTGTATCTGGGAGGTAGAACGCTTCTGTTTCTCACACATCACATTAATACATGTTTTTTTTTGGTTGTCTTCCAAGGAGTTAGTGTTTAAACTTTGGCATTGAGTGTGTTTCTTCTGTAACGTGCATGATGAATCCTGTTCTCAGGTGATGCTTCATACTGCACACCTGAGCAGTACAAAGACTGTGCAGAGCCTGCTTTGGGTAAGTCAGCATAAATGCACATTGCTCTTTGAAAATGAAGTTTTTCTTTTTTTCATTTACCGGTATGTTGACACTGCACTTTAATGCTACACCTGCTTCATAGATAAATAATGCTGAATTTTAGGATTCAGACAGAAAGTTAAAAGTTTAAATATTCAAAAAACTACAAAGCAACAGCCTCTTATAAAGCTACGGTTACATTTTTCATCTAGCATGTCAGATTTGCGTCTTCTACAAAAGGTGCAGAAGTGTGGGAAGTTCTAGCAACTTTTTCGTATTTTCTTTAGCCAATATGTGCTAAAACGACTCTTTACAGGGTGAATGAAAAGTCTCTCTGCCCGTTGTGGGCAGGATGCCCCATTTACAACTCCAGCCTCTGCGTACCGCTGCCCTGAAGTCTCACAAAGCCACGCTTTGCAGCAATCCATGTCTACTCCGCAGAACAGACGAGTTATACCTGGTTAGCATTTATTGTAATGTGTCTGTCATGGTGGAGCCTCAGAAGAGACAAAGGAAACATTTATCTGATTAGGCTACAATAATAAAAAGAACATCCGACCACAACAGGAGGCAAACAGAGCTCAGCGACACGATTCTTGCATGTTATAGATTGTGAACGCAGCTTATTTATTTGATTGAGTAATGAATTAGTAGAAACTAATGAAGGCTGAGCAGTTAGATCATTTCAGATGATAGATTAAGAACAAGAGCGCACAGCGAGGAGAGTTTCGTTTTTACGACACTGAATTAAAACGGACACTAGGAGGTGCTAACAGCAAGCCAAAACTGGAAAGTTTCTCTCTAAAAGGAGCCGACTTAATAGTTCTGCTTTTGAATGAATGGCTCATCAGGTTTGCCACTGTCGTAAGAGTCAGCTGGGTCTCCGGTGTTTAATTTACTGCAGGAGAAAGCAGAGTGATACTCATCTTTTTTCTTTAATTTGGGTTCGTTTATCCTGCTTTGTAAAAGTTTCCTTAGTTTAAATTTCATATAAACTTTCATGAAACGCTGGATGATCTGGTGGTTTGAAGAGTTGGATCTGAATATTTCCCCCTGCTTTATGAATCTGCTCTCAGAGCTCTACCAAATATTTCTGTCAGGACTCAGGTATCTCCCGGCTGACCTTCGGACCACAACTCCCGACATGCCCCTCGTGGGGAGCTCCCAGCGTGCTCCTCGCGGGGATTCCCTCCACGTCACAGCCAAGCAAGGCTATATATGGAAGACGCCGTGACCGGCTTCTCATCTCAGTCATCGTTTCTTCCTCACAGAGAAATAATAAAACTGTTAAACGTCTCACCTTGTTCGTCTCCTTCATCCAGTCTGATCAGCCTGACAGGATGACTGAGATCCGAGTAGATTCGACGGAGATCGATCGTCTCCGCCACGAGAACGTGCAGCTGCGTTCCATGGTAGATCAGCTCAACACCAAGGTGAACTCCTTGTCCGACCACACCCTGCGTCTATCCACGGCTCTCACGGCTCTCCAACAACAGGCAAACGATCAGCAGCAACAGATCGCTGCACTCCAGCAGCCAACCCGCTCTGCTCCTAGGGAGGAGCCCCACTTCAGCCTGCCGGAGAGGTGGAACGGGGAGACGGGGAGCCCCGATGGTCTGCTCGCCACGCTGGACATGCAGTTCGAGTGCCAACCTGGACGCTACCCATCTGCGCGCTCCCGAGTGGCGCATCTCACCTCCCTGCTCTCCGGACGCGCCGCGGAGTGTGCTGCTGCGCTTTACAATTCCAAATCCCCTGCCTGCAACGACTATGCTGCGTTTGTGTCCGCTCTCTGGAAGACCTTTGTTCCCCCTAGCAGCGAAGTGGGAGCAGAGACACGCCTTCTCAAACTCCGCCAGCGAGAACGCTCGGTGTGCGCTTATGCGTCGGAGTTTCGCACCATCTCCGCCAAGCTGCAGTGGAATGACGCCGCTCTGCTGGCCGCCTTCCTGGAGGGGATGGCACCCTACATCCGTGATGAGTTGGCGGGAAGGGAGCTGCCTCAGACCCTGGATGAGGTGGTTGATCTGGCGCTGCGCATCGACCAGCGGGTTCTGGTTCGACCCAAGTTATCCACGCGTCCACCCAGGACGCCGGTGGCTCGCCCTCGTTCACCCACGCCAGCTCCTGTACCCATGCTGGCGGAGGAGCCCATGCAGCTCGGCCACCTTCCCCCCGAGGAGAGACAACGACGGTGGCGCGAGGGCCTCTGTGCCTACTGTGGCTCTCCCGACCACCGACGCCTGGACTGCCCGCTACGATCGGGAAACGGGGGGCCCCACTGAGTATTGGGGTCGCTCAGTCTGGGTCTTCTTCTACCCCTGTCGCTACTAACCGTCTCCTTATTCCTGTCACCCTCCTCCATGGTGAGGCCTCACTCCACGTAAACGCATTGGTGGACTCGGGGGCCGCGGACAATTTCATGGACCTAGATCTGGCAAAACGCCTACGGATCCCCCTAGAACCCCTGGAGAGAGTTATACCAGTGACCTCGGTGGACGGTAGGCCTCTCCAACCCTACCCAGTCCGAGACCGAACCCAGTCACTCCGTATGATCACCCAAGGCCACCAGGAGACCCTCCATTTCCTGGTCATTTCTGCTCCCTCTTCTCCTCTAATCCTGGGGTTCCCCTGGCTCCGTCTCCACGACCCTCATATTTCCTGGTCCCAGAACCGCCTGCTGGGCTGGGGGACCTCGTGCCAGACCCACCTCGTTCCTCCTCCATCCTCGGCGGGTCTTCCGGACGGGGGCCCCGGCTCCACACCGCCCCACCTGCCGCTGCCCTATCGGGACCTGGCCGCGGTGTTCGACAAGCGGCGCGCCACCTCCCTGCCACCTCACCGGCCATATGATATGGAGATCAAGCTGCTACCCGGAACCAGTCCTCCCCGCGGGCGCCTTTTCTCTCTCGCGCCTCCCGAGACCAAAGCGATGGAAGAATACATCGCCCAGGCCCTCCAGCAGGGGTTCATCCGACCCTCCACCTCTCCGGGTGCCGCTGGCTTCTTCTTCGTGAAGAAAAAGGAAGGCGATCTTCGCCCCTGCATAGACTATCGGGGTCTGAACAAGATCACGGTCAAGGATCGCCATCCTCTGCCGCTCCTCACTACCGCTCTGGATGCCATCTCCCAGGCACGGATCTTTACGAAACTGGATCTCCGGAGCGCCTACAATCTGGTCCGTATAAAGGCCGGGGATGAGTGGAAGACCGCGTTCATAACACCCACCGGCCACTGGGAGTACCTGGTTATGCCCTTCGGACTATGCAATAGCCCTGCTGTCTTCCAACGTCTCATTAATGATGTCCTCCGCGACATGCTGGGACGGTGGGTGTTCGCCTATCTGGACGATATACTGATCTACTCCAAATCTGAGGCCGAACACATCCATCATGTTCGCGCCGTCCTGACCCGGCTCCTGGACCACAACCTGTACTGTAAACCCGAGAAATGCTCCTTCCATCAGCAGTCCATATCCTTCCTGGGCTACATGATCTCGGACGAAGGGATAACCATGGACCCTCAGAAAATCCAGGCGGTGAAGGACTGGCCCTTGCCAACCAGCCTGAAACAACTGCAGAGTTTTCTGGGTTTCTGCAACTTTTACCGCCGTTTTATAAAGAACTATAGCACCCTCGTAGCCCCTCTCACCTCTCTCACTCGACCAGGCTCCCCTGGCCAGCTGTTTCGTCTAACTCCCGACGCCATTCGGGCCTTCCGCCACCTGGTCACCCGCTTTACCTCGGCCCCGATCCTCCGCCATCCAGATCCTGCAGTTCCCTTTGTGGTCGAGGTCGGCGCCTCTGACGTCGGCGCCGGCGCCATCCTGTCTCAAGGCGGGCCCGACGACAGGCTCCATCCCTGCGCCTACTTCTCCAGGAAGTTTTCCACCACCCAGCAGAAGTACGGTGTGGGCGACCGTGAGTTACTGGCCATAAAATGGGCATTGGAGGAATGGAGGCAGTGGCTTCTGGGCACCACTCGGCCTTTCACGATCTGGACTGACCATCAGAACCTGACCCACATTAAATCTGCCAAGCAGCTTAACCCTCGCCAGGCTCGCTGGGCCCTCTTCTTTGAACCCTACGACTTCCATCTCGCCTACCGCCCGGGAGCCAAGAACCAGAAGGCGGACGCCCTCTCCCGCCAATTCACCCACTCCACGCCCTCGTCCGAGCCAGCGCCAATCCTCCCGGAACACCGCTTCCTGGGCCAACTGAGGTGGCCGTTGGAGGAAGCTATCCAGAACGCCCTCCGGGACGACCCCGCACCTCCAGAGACCCCAGCGGGTCGCCTCTATGTCCCCACGGCCTGTCGCAGCGAGGCGTTGTCCTGGGCCCACTCATCACGCCTGTCTGGCCACGCTGGTTTCTCCAGAACTCTTAAATTCCTCCAGCGAGCCCTCTGGTGGCCAGGCATGGCGAGGGATGTCAAAGAATACACCAGCGCCTGTGACGTCTGTGCCCGCTCCAAGAACCCCAACCAGGCCTCGGCTGGTGCCCTCCGACCTCTTCCGGTGCCCAGCCGCCCCTGGTCCCACGTGGGGCTGGACTTCGTCACGGGTCTCCCGCCGGTCAATAACCTCAACACTGTCATGACGGTTACGGACCGCTTTTCCAAGTCTGTCCATTTCATCGCCCTTCCGGGTCTCCCCTCAGCCCAACGCACAGCGGAACTGTTCCTGGAGAACGTGGTGCGCCTCCACGGGTTCCCAGTCGACGTGGTCTCGGATCGGGGGCCCCAGTTCACGGCCCGGTTCTGGAAAGCTTTCTGTCGGCTGATGGGAGCATCGGTCAGTCTATCTTCAGGCTACCACCCGCAGACCAATGGCCAGACGGAGCGGGCTAACCAACAGCTGGGTCGGTACCTTCGATGTTTTGTCTCGGCTCAACCCTCGCAGTGGCCTAAATACCTCCTCTGGGCGGAGCTGTCCCACAATCTTCACACCTCATCTGCCACTCGGCTGTCCCCTTTCGAGGTCTGCTATGGCTTCCAGCCCC